TGAAGGAAGATCAAAATCCCAGCCCCGCTCCCTCACTCTCCGAGTGGGCGCTGAGCGGACCTGGTCTAAGAAGGCTAAACAAGAGATCAAACAACAACTGTGAGTACCCGAAGCCAGGAGCAACGAGCTTGCTCCCTTCCCTCTTTTATTTCTCTGTTCCTCCATAACAATGGGCTGTTGGGCAATGCCAAGGTTTGGCGCCGTGAGGCGCCGAATGCGCCGGGAAAAAAGGTTGTGCTGACGCACGACCGTCAACGGCCGCAAGCGATTAGTTCAAGTTCGGTATTTTTGACCGCCACTGGTTTGGTTTTACAGCGATAACTTTCCGAAGGACGAAGCAACAGCAATAGCAAGGCCACTCGGCGGGAGATAGCTCGCTGCTCCATCCTTCATGCCCAAGGTTTGGTGCCGTGGGTTATCGTGCGTGTGGGGAAAATAGTTTTGGTTGGCCATAAATACCCACGTCAGAGAGCGGTTGGTTCAAGTGCGCGGGGATTGTGTGCTCATGGTTTGGTTTTGCAGCGATAACTTTTCGAAGGAGGAGGCAACAGCAAGAAAAGCAATGCCACCCCGAGGGAGCTAGCTCTACCCACCATCTTTCTGGTACCAGGTTAGATGCCTTGGGGTATTGTGAGTGTGAAAAACAAAGGTTGCAACTACCCTCTCCCGCACGCTCTGGCCGTTGTTTTCGCGCAGTGTGATATGAAAGGCGTGCGCCTTCTTCTCGCCGTTGCAAAAAATAAACGCCGCCGCATTCCGCCAGTCCCGTGCTCAACACTTTCTTCGTCCCATAAAGAACGTGCACCAAAAGTTACATTGACCAAAGTTCAGTTGCAAGAACAGTTGCAGGAAAGTTTGCACTTTTCTTGCAGCTTTGTGCTGCCTAAATTTTCTGCAACAACAATAAGCTGCATGTTGTGGGATCTGGCTGCGGACGTTCGACGTCTGAAAGGGACGAGGCCTCACGTTGGCATCGGATCGTGTTCGGAACTGATCTCAAGCGCGCCAACGCCTATCACAACAACCTGCGAAACAAGCCAGAGAGAGAAATATAAATGTTAAGCGCCCCACCCACACGCTCGCCTGACTGAGCATCTTCAAGATTTCACGCGAAATGTACGCGCCTACCCTGATTTCTGAGACGAAGCTAAAGATGGGTTTCGATATTTTCATGTGAGCCGCGCGTCATCTCCGAGACAACACGCGCACCGGGGGGGTTAGGCTATCTATGTTATGGTACTTGCGCCTAGTTTCTCAAGCACTCGGGAACGTCGACGAAGTGGTTGGTGTTGTTGTGACCTGCTGTTGACCTCCTTTGTGCCCCCCAAGGTCAGGGATCCTCGACCTATGCCAACGCTGGCAGCACGCACAAATAAATGAAGCTGCACCATGGATGGGCGGGATGCCATCCGCTCGCAACCATGTCGAGTCCGACAGTTAGTTTACGTTGTTTAGTCTGCGACTCCTGACACCAAGCACTTTCATCTGTTCCCGGCGAAACTCTGACCAGGGAAAACAATACCACCGAGGGCGTAACCGGCACCTCCAAGAAGAGCAAAGGGAAGTGGGGGAACCTACTCCCGCCTAGTGTGATTTTTGGTGTGGTTGCGCTGGCATTAGAAGTCATCTCGACTCTCTGGGCGTTCGAAGAAGCGCGGGCTGCGGGCTCCTTGGACGGCAACGTGCAATGCGACGCTGATTCCGTCCTGGAAGCGTTTCACAGGAGCAATGTCACCCAAGAAAACTGCGAGGAGCTGGATCCTCTGCTGTTGGGCTCGTCGACGGAGGACTCGTTACTCTACGACTACGTCAGTGTTGGCTGCGGGGACCCCACTGTCCCCTCCACTGAAGAAGCAAGCTTCCTGGAGCATTGCGGCTGCGATGATCCCGAACCCTACTCCACGACTGACAGCACTCATGTTGAAGGCTGCAGCTGGATCGGGGCTGAGTTCACGGACATCCCTGAGTTGAGCGGCTATTGTTTCGCGGTTGCGATTGGTCACGTATCTTTCGGTGACGATGATTTTGAATATTTGGAATATGTCAACCCGTTCGAACGAGATGAATGCTGGCCAAAGGTCGCGTCGGGAACCGCCACGATAACTATCTTCGCTTTCGTGATGACCCTGGTCACTCATGTCGCAGAAGGCTTCGTCTTTCGGCAAAAAGTCAAGTATCCCGACAAAGGACCCAGCTTGAGAGTGGAGATTGGTGCGTCAGTTGTCGAGGCCGTTGGAGTAGTAGCAGTTTTCTGGGTACTGTCAAACTTCACCAGCTACCAAGACAACAGCGATCAAGACAGCGCTTTGGTCTTAGACGGGCTTGCGTTGTTTGCCGTGGCTTGTGCAGTCTTGGGCCTTCTTGCCGAGGTACTTGCTGGGTATGGTAAGCTCAAGCCTGGTGAAATCAAAGTCTTCGGTCATATGTTTCCCCAACGCGACAGATCCAGCAAACCCGTTGTTCAGTGCTTGGGAGAGTTCGGCAGTGCAACAATATGGTTGGGTTCCGGCCTGTTGGAAGTGGTCGTCACAATTTGGCTAGTCTGGAAAGGGGAAGGAATAATCCGCTCGTACTCAGTCTCCTCTTCGTATGCGGACTCTGGGGAGGGTGACCTGAGCGCCACATTGTCGTCTCAGATCGCCTTGGAAGTCCTCGCCGTGTTGGCCCAATGGGCCGCAAAATATTTGTGGGCTACAAGAAAGGTTCGAATGCGAGTGGATCAAGTTGGAGGGCCCGTACCAATTCCAGGCGGATCATTTTGAGGACTCAGTAGTCCGTAACAACATCGGGCGTTGATTGCTGTACACTCGCCGCGTCGTTTGGGCCGGTACAATGTCTCAAAGATCGCGTGATCAGTTCGATTCATTGTGTGTGTGTGTGCTTCGTCCTAGTTAGTTGTAGACCCCGAATCGTCGCGCCCAGGGGCAAAAACATCTTTTTTGTCGTCCGATATATATCTCCTTCAAATGAGTGCAGAGTGATGCGCAAAGAAAGTTGTTCGGGGTTTGTTTTCATAGCTTTCGCTTACCAGCGTATGCCACAACAATCGAGAGTTGGACATTATGTTGGGGACGACGTTGCCGTCATCAGGGATTGTTTGCAGCAGGGAGTGCGGAAGGTTCCGCGGCAATTTGTTGAGGGTTCATGCTTGAGTTCACGTCACGTCCGTCCACAGTTCTAAGAATTCTATGGCCAACTCAGCGTTCTGCGGAAAATCGTTCATTCTTGATGCCCACGTATGTATATTCTGCATCGAGTGCATATTTTGGGTGAGGGGCACGTTTCATAGACTCCACGAGACCGATCGTCAAATAAATGTCGTGGTCTGGTCGCTGCTGTTGTTCGTACGTCGGGATGCGTTGTTGTTGTCTACTTCATTCAGCAAGCAGTGTTCCGACCCTTTTTTTTCCCGTCACTCTGACGATCGTAGGTAAGTTAGCGTATAACCTTAGAAACCGAAGGGGTGGCGGCACGTTGAGGGGGTGGCTAAATCGCACATCCTTGAGGGTAAAAGACAGCAATGCTTGTATGTGGCTTCTAAGGCCTACCCGATTAACGCACGGCCAGGTACTACGTAGCTACCAAGCACCGTCTACGAACCCGCTTCCCTGTGCATGAGACGAGAAGAGGAAGGCTAGTGATATCTCGTGATATCCTTCAACTAATCGCATGCTATTATCATGTACATGATCGCGTGCGTGCTCTGAGGTCTGGGTGGTGAGCGTGCGGCTGTCTTTTTCTTTCCCCCCCAGATACTGGCGCAGTTTTCACCAGGTATATTCACAAGATCACGGGACGCGGCAACATTGCACTTGTAGTGTGTTCGACATACGTGCCAACATGTCAAGCTTATGCTAGGAAAGGGAGATGGATAGTCTAATAATTATTTTCATATTCTTTTTCGTCAGGAAGCAAGATCTCACACCGTCTCAACACACTCCACCTGCATTCCATGTACATGAATCCAACGAGGCTAAATGTGTACCCCAAGTACCTCAACGACACATCCATTTGTACTTGATACGATGTACGATCGTCTCGAATCAGCCACAATTAGACAAGGAATGCTCAATTCACGACCAATAACCTTTACAGTACAACACAGTGCAGTTACGCCCCAATGAAACTGCGAACACTGCCAAGCTCATGGCGCACCACGGCGCCTCTTGTCGCGTTCGCACGCTACACCAACAACAACAAATTTCGCCTGAAGTGCCAGCAGGTGATACGCAATACGCGCCAGAGTGCTAGCTAGGAAAATATCACCTGCTGGCCCCCCAAAAACCTCCTCCATCACGAACACATCGGCGCACGCGCCCAATGTGCTACATAAATCCTCCATTGAAAGCCGCATCAAAAGAGGCTCAGGCGCTCCAGACCTGCTTCTATCTAGACGAGCTATCGCTAATCCGCCATCATTAAAAATGAATCAACATATTTACGAGATTCGAGGCAGTTCCCTTGTGCCTGCCGCCCGCCCGCTCGCCTTCCCAATCGACCAGGTGCTTGCTGGGCGTGAGTGAACGCCTTTGGAGTTGAGACCGTGGCACACACAAAACAAAAAGAAACGTGGAAGGGGAAATCGGGGAGAGGGGATGTTCAGTTTCAGGTCGATGCCTAGTATCAAGTATCGCGGTCGGTCACTAAGAAGGACATCTGAGAGCACGCTTCGTTCGATGTTTTTCTTGGATTTTGCGAGGAGTGCATGCCCTGGCGGCGAGAGAAACGAGAACAATTGGATACAGCAGTTGTGTCCACCGATTGCTGCTTTAGGCATTCTCACCCGGGCTTAAACGGATGTGCAAAGACATTGTTCGAGGCTCGGGTTAACTGATTGTTCCACGTTCTCAAGTGCGGGAGCTATCTGCACACCCAAGGCAGCGACAGCGGCCGACAACGGAAGCAAATTCACACACTCAAGCACAAATGCGGGCCGCACCAAGAAAGGGAAGTATGCCGCTGGATCGATACAAAAGAGGACGACATATCCACGCCTACACTGGAAACTCACGTCTGTCTGCGTCTTCATCTCCGGAGGCATCTTAGTGCTGGGCCTGCGCGACAGCGGAATGGCGTCGCGGTCGGGATCGGTTGGTTTAGTGTCGAGCTATCGGGCGCTAAGGCAAAGACTCACGAGAACGACCTCGCCACAGACGACCGCAGCAGGAGGCGAGCGTCAGGTGTCGGCGTGGTCCACCACCTCAAAACATCACAAAATGTAACAACGAAAAGAGATGGATTTGTTGCGTCGTGAGAATTGGCTATCACAACGCAACGAACGCTTTCCTAAATCTATCCCATCCTCGACTTATCTGGAAGAGACGCTCTCGTGACAGTACAAAAATACAGAAAAAAAATGTCAACACGGGACGACTACTCAGACCTCCTACTAGTACGGTCCTTACTCACGGGCTTGAGCCCCGGGGGCGCCTTGGGCATCGCAGACGAGTGGTGCTCGATCATCACCCACTTGCCGTTCTCCCTTCGGTACGCAAACGTGAAGCGTGCCCGCGTCTCGGTCATGGCCCCGTCCGCTCCCGCCCAGGCGAAGGTGTAGGCGCCGGCGTGGATGGCGAAGTCCCCGTGTATGCGCGGGGGCGCCGGGTCGTACGCGACCATGGAGAGCTTGGGCATGCGGGCAAAGAAGTCCTGTGTTGAGGGAAAAGAAGCGGGTAGAGGTGCGTAGTCGAGAGTATGGTTCACAATCTTGAGCGGGTGTTCCAAGCTTGGAAAATGACGTGGGTGATCCAACATTTTCATGCCTGCCCGAGGAGGCCACCAAAACACAAAATCTAGGACAAAATTATCACAGGGTCAAAACCAATCGACGCCACGACGCTACATCACGTGCCGAGGACAACTCCAGGCCATGCAACACGCAGATTGCACCTCACGCGATGGTTATCGCCACCATGCTGCACGAAGGACAACTACAGACAACGCAAACGCACATTCCATACGCGATGGTTGTTCCTACCTGCTACATACAGTACTGCTGTAAATCGCAACTTTCTTCTCAAGACTTGCACTCACGAAGTAGTCGTAGACGTGCGCGGGCGTGTTGCGGACCTCCTCCGAGACCGTTCCCCAGAACAGCGCGTCGTCAGCGTAGATGGCGGCGGTCTTCTTGGGAGCGTCCTCGGTGTTGGAGGTCACCGTGTCCCTCCAGTGCCTAGTCGCGGCGTCCACGGCCTTCTGGTCTGTTCACCCGACACAGCAACAAGAGTACAGGTACAGGCGCATGTCAGATGAACGTTCACTTTGATCGCTCGACACACAAGCAAAACACAGCGGGAGAGAGATACAGCGCATACGGTACGAGCCTTCACATCAGACTAACCGACAAGCAACAACCTACCGGTGGATCTATACGAAACCAACGACTTACAGAGGTTTCCGCCTTTTTCGTTTGTATCCTTGGGCTTTGTGTTAAAACTTACTCCATAACGAAGACAACATTGACAAACCTAAACATGCGCTTTCGGAACTCTTGTCCTCCAGACAGTTACAACTCCGCCGTTTTCAGCACTGTCGCTGGCTTTGCGAAGTGACGAGTTTTAAAAATCGCTCCAGGGGATGTCTACATGGGGTTCCGCAAAAAGGAAGCAGTGTGCTAAAAGTACACTACATCGAAGAGGAGGAAAGCACACAAAAGGTGACCGCCAAATATTTGAAATGGTCGATCCGATTCGCTTCGGTGGTTTGGTGGCTGAAAAGATTTCAGAAACGTCGACAGCGAAGAAACAAAGAAAAAGACAAAAGCCAACGAACACAAAGCGGCAAACGACGCCTGCGGCGAGAACACACCATCTTTTCAGCAGCAGCGGCAGAATGCAACGGTTAATGAGGCAGCAACCATATGCTACCGGTTGACTCACCAGCGGTGTAGTTGGCCGCGTAGTCGGCCTGCACAGGCCCGTCCGCGTCAAGTCCCGTGATCGCCAGCGCGTCGGGCACAATATTTCACCACGTTCAGGGAAAAGAGCGAGCGCGTTCGGGGGGTTAATTTACCGGTTTGCCGCACTCGCACGGCTAGATTGCACTGCCAAGCAGCGCGCAAAATTACCAATTTCAGCTCAATCGAACACAAAGCTCTCAAGAGTTTTGAGTACGGGAACCGCCAGGGCGGGCGCGGAAACGGAAGACAATATTCTGCATGTTTCGATGGTGCATGACTTGCGTTGAAGTGCGGCAGTACGTGTGCGATAAACGGTAGCATCTGCCTGTGCCAGCATGTGACAAGGGTACAGTGCAAATATTGAAAAAAATGCAAGGCAATTTGGGCGCGCGCACATCATGATGGAACACCAAACGACAGAAACAAACAAGAAAAAGAGTGACGCGAAGAGGCCCGAGAGTCGAACCACTTCTTCCAACGAAACCTTCATGGATGTGCTGCATGTTTGTGTGGCGAATGGAGAGGTAGGTGCAGTAACGAGCTTCTCGGTGAAGAGGATCCTAACATGCTATAGGGTTGCGCGGGGGGTATTGGAAAACATGGCAAGGCACTTTGGCGCGCGCACACCGTCATGGTACGCGACAAGAGATGGAAACCATATTGTACGCATACTTTTTCGCGACCCCCGAAATAGCGCGAATACGCCTTACCAACAACAACGTGATCATATTCATGTGGCGGAAGCGGGCGATGGAGGGGTTCAGTTTCGAATCTGTAGATGAAAACGATCCTAATAGACTATTGTACAGGGTTATGCTTCGTGTGTTGGGGATCCCAAGTGTCAATGGTGACGAGTTCATGCTTGCGCAACACCCCGCACGACCACGGAGCAACATCAGGCCAACGGGCGCGAGATGACAAAGTCAAATGCGCCGCCGGTGAGGGTTGTACGTAAGCGTTTTGCTGCAGTTTGACGCTGACATGGTACTGTCGAGTCTGGAACGTGTGCGTGTCTTCTAGTAGCGTCGAACGAAGCGCGTGCGAGCCTTGACAGTTCATTATCCTTCAAATGTAGCCGGAGAAAGCGTGTGACGCGACGCAACTCGAGTCCCTTTACAAAGACACAGCATGGTCGTTTTTAAATAAATCTACATGCGCACAAGACAGAACGATCAAACACCCATCAAGATATCTAGCGCATCCAGACACGCCGCCACAGCAGTTGGCGCACATTACCTCACCTGTCCAGACATGTGCCTGACCGGGATCTTCGCGATGGCAAGCCTGGTCGCCGCCTGGGTGACCGTGAGGCCCGACCTCGTCGACAGCAGGGCGTTCATCGAGCCGGCTCGGACGCTGCTCTGGATGCTGGCCTCGCTCTTGCCGACGACCCTTGCCAGCCTGGATGCAGTCCTTCCGGCCGGCATCTTACCAAAGTTCATCATGATGTTCTTTCGTCGGACGGTGGAAGGTTGGTGGAGTGGTGTTGCTGACAGAGGTGGGTGTGTGTCGTTGTGAGCTGTGCGGGCGGGGGGAACGAAGAAGGCACGTGACACGTGTACGGTGACAACCGATGAATCACGCCGCATTTTTTTTCTATTTTTTGACGGGCGCCGTCGGATAAGACCTACTGTAGACCTCCACGTTTGCTACCAAGTATGTCGATGAATGCCTTATGGTCATGAGGTTTTGAGATGACAGGTCACCTCGGAGCGGTCAACTTCGTTGCTGCGTACGCCCCAACCGAGGTCTCCACCGACGACAGCAAGAGAGAATTCTGCAAAACTTGACAGTCTCGTGCGGAGGATTCCCTCCAGGGGAGAAGGGAGAGTGTGTCTATCGTCTATCGTCTATGCTGATGGACGCCAACGCGCTGATGGGAGAGAGGATGGACGGGGATGACGATGGAAGACTGGGAAGACGCGGGCGTGATGAGCTAAACGAAAATGGCCGACTGCTGCTGACCTTCGCAGCTCGGAACACAAACTACGTAGCTCTCGCGAACACACCTTCTTTTTGAGACGCGCAAGGGCGGAATATGGCACACTCACGACGGTGTCTCAGGGACCGGCCACAAGCGCGTCGACTACATCCTAACATGGCAGGCACCCTGCGGCCGAGTGTCTAACGTGGTCTTCATCCCCCAACCGGTACACCCAGTCAAGGTGGACTCAGACCACAACGTGGTGATTGCCACCGTCAACCTTACGGTGGCAGTCTTGCCCACAAAGGAGCAGTTCGCACGAAACCGAACCAGAGGCAGTTCAACCGACGGGAATTGCAGGTCGAAGCAACGCAATGGACGGTGACTGAGGGGTTCCTCCTCAACCTCGACCAACGGCAGGACGGGCGAGCGACCACCACCCCGGAGAAGGCAACCGAGTTCACTAATGCTCTCCTCGAAGTGGCGAGGGCGATACTACCCGAGGAACGGCGGAGACAACGGACGCAGGAGTGGTGTGAGACCCCAGAGACAAGAGCAGCGTTGGAAGAGGCCCTTACCAAGCGGCGGGAAGCGCGCTGAGCTAAGAAGGGCAATTGCAACACAGCAACGTGGATGGAACTCAAAGCAGCGAGTAGGGGCGTGGCTGCAACAGTCGAAACGGGCATATATGCCCACCTGGACAGGTATTTATTGATGAAACTCGAAGCGATCTACGAGGACCGCGATATGAGAGGACTCTACCAACACCTCAAGAGATCGGTGGGGCTCAGTGGGAGAACGGAGTGAAGGACAGCAGTCCGTTGAGGACAAGACTGGCGTGCTGCCCCGGAGCAAGAACGACATCCTCCAGCGATGGGCGAGATTGTTCGGCATCCTCCTCAACACCAAGTCCCCCACCCTGAACCCAGACATCATCGAACGAGTGACGCAGCGACCGGCGACACGTGCCACTCGACGGTTGGGAGCGGCGGCAGACCTCGAGGAGGTGGAACGAGCAACAATCGGCTTGCAGAACTGGAAGGCACCCGTCCAAGACCCCCTGCCTGCCGAACTGCTCAAGATCGATGATAACGAACCCATCGTACGGGGGCGCCTCCATGTCATCCTCGATAAGGTGTGGTAAAGAGGAGGAGAGATCCCGCAAGAGTGGAAGGACACAACGATCAAAGTGCTGTACAAGAAGGGTGACCGGTCCAACTGTAACAACTACAGGGGGGTCTCGCCGTTATCTCACGTAGGCAAGGTCCCTATCAAGATCATCACCAACCGCCAAAGCGCCTTCTGCGAAACCAACAACATCCTCCCGGAGGAATAGTGCGGATTCGGACCTGGGCGATCCACCATCTATATGCGGTTCGTCGTGCGGCGACCCAAAGAGCTGGGGCGGAGACGGAAAATACCTCTCTACATGTGCCTCGTCGACTTGAGGAAGGCGTATGATTCGGTGGACAAAGAGCTGCGGAAGGTACTGGCTAGGGTCGGGGTCCCCGAGGAGATGATCACCGCTATCCGTCAATTCCCCGACGGAGTTTGAGCCCGGGTGCGAACGGACGACGGAGAGTTTTCGGGCTGGTTCTGGGTCTCACGAGGCCTACGACAAGGGTGTGTGCTGTCCCCACTGCTGTTCAGCATCTTCTTCGCCGCGGTTCCCGAGGTCGTCATTCGATTCAGCGAGGATGATGTTATTCTGCAGAACCTGGTGTACCTGGATGATGAGGAGATGGGAGCGGGGGCGGGGACACCACTTGGCCGAGTGCGGAGGGCGGTACGGGAGATGCTGTATGCCGGTGACGCCGGCGTTGTATCGAGGTCTGCCGAAGGACTGGCGAGAATGATGACCGTCATCGTGGAGGTGTTCGGGGAGTTCGGGCTGACGGTGTCGGAGAAAAAGGATCAGACGCTCCTGATGCGCGTCAAGGAGAGGCAGCCAACACCACCGCTGCCCCCCGCCGCCACCGCGGATCATCTGGGTAGCAGGGCAGAGGTACGCCCAGACAACTGAGTTCCGGTACCTAGGTCGTCAACGAACACGGCGGCCTCATCCGGGAGATCAATTACCGGAGCAGAGCAGCGTGGATGTGCGTCAGGAGATATGGCTGGGAGCTCTTCTTCGACAGACCGAGAGCACCGTTCAGACTCAAGACTCCCTGCTCCAGGCAGAGGCGATGGAGGCACTACTGTACGGCTGCATGACGTAGGCCCCACGTCATGACCACTACCGACTATTGCGGTCGATACATCACCGACTGCTCCTTCTGCGAGTTATCGGTTACCAACGCAAGAAGGAACCTACTGGCAGCTTTCCTACGCCCAAACCCTGAAGACGGTAGGGTGCCAGAGCGTGGAAGCCACTGTTCGGCAATGACGCCTGCCTGCTGTTCGCGGGAGCACTAGGAAGGCAGCCGGACGGACGACTCCCGAAACGGTTGGTGATTGGCGAGCTGGGGGGGGGGACTCAGACAGGGGGAAACCGGAACAAAACTGGCAGATGAGCGTGAAGGGACGACCTCAAGATATTCGAGGCAGAGCAAGGATCTACGGACACCGAGGCATGTGTCTTCGGAATCCCATAACCCATGTGGATGGAAGCAGTGAAGGTGGAGCGGTGTGTACCGTGGCACCCGCGAGTACTGCAGGGAGCTAAGAGGTTTATACCTTCTTAGCACAAAGATGAAGAGGAGGCTAGCCGGCAACGAGCTCTCAAACGAGACGACAAACTCGACAACATTGCTGGTAAAGCAACAACCAATGGGGCGGTAGGGGTACAGAAGACGGACGAGACGGCGAGGGAAGAAAGCAAACGAGAAGAGGCAGACCGAGCGGCAAGCCACCCCCCCGGTGTTGGCCATCGGGGTTGGGTTTTCGTCGCTTGGCAACGACTTTGTGAAACAAGCCAATTCACTTCGTGAACTCGGCAACCAGGTTACCGCTTTTGTTTTTTACCTCTGTTTTTTTTTTTGGCGTTACCCATGCTGGTGGTCGAGTAGATCATGTTGTGCGGGGTCGAGAACACTCACTCCGCGCAACGGGGGATGATCGCACCACGTTGTGTTAAAATGGTCAAGCTTCCTCGAGGCAGTTACACAGCAGTGCTTACAACTGTCTCTGGAAGTGAACGCACCAGAAAATAAATTAAGTCATACGTAGCTGTCATCCGTACGCAAGGAAGTAAGCACAAGATGCCGAACACCCTTAGCAGGATGCAGCTCACCCTTCATGCGACTCGCCAAATACCTCACGGCGCTTCGCGCTTGGTGATGTGAGAGCCTGGTCCGGTGAGAACCCGGCGTGCTCCGTCCCGGCTTTGTAGGGATGCGAGGTCAATGGTCAAACGACTACGGCATGCACGACTATGAGTACACCCCCCCCCCCCCCCCCCCCCTCTCCCTCCCCCAAAAGCAAAGGGGGGTACATCCCAAAGTAGGCACACCCCTACCCAAGGTTAATGCCTATCGGTACGGCATTAATAAAAGTACTAAATAAAGTAGTCCCCATTGGGTGGTGGAGGACTTAGAGTTAAGACACCCCGAAACTCTCCGGCGTGAGATCCAAAATGGATCGGACGGTAGGGGGGGGGGGTGTTCGTCGCCGACAGTGGATCTGTAAAACATGGAGCCACCAAAGCAAAGCTTACTACTCACGTCGAGCACAGACCGACAAACGGCTGACCAACCCAGCAATAATGCAAAGCTAGATGTGCAGCTCACAAAATGCATTGTTTTCCGATTGGAGAGAGGCGAGTACAAAGCAGTAAAGGAATTGTTGGCCAAACGTTCGGCAGATAGGTCTACTCGGGAGCGTAAGTGGGGTATCAACCCATGGTGGAGCGTATATGAGAAGCTGGACGTTGGTGTACGCTCCATCCCGGCGTGAGTGGGATCTTAGGCTATGCAAGTCGTCCTTGAACTTGTTGTGGTGAAAATGACCTCCCAGGAGGAAAATAGCCTGTACTGTACCACGGGACTTCGGAGATGATAAATTGGGTGGTCGGGGGACGTCTGGGTATTTACTAAACAGAGCGCCCGGCACAAGACTGGGGTACTTGTGCCGGGAGGTGTGAACTTGGATCTAGCCTACGAGCCCATGTTGGAGGCGCTATTTAGCGTCGGTGAGCCGGCAAAAGAACTGAAAGGAAACGCAACCCCCACCGGACACTCGGATTGGGAAGGCCGAGTACTCCGTACACCTTCCTGAAAATACGCAAAAAACAAGTGGCCACGGCCCAGTTGACGTAGAGATCATGAGGATGGTGAAGAAACCGGGAGGGTGGAAGCAGGAACTGTGGAAGGGAAAGGATGGAGCTGCTACTGTTTGGGATCCCAAGGGATATAACGAGGATAGAGTTCAAGAACTGCTGTGAGGAGAGACTACGCTGCCCAGCGAAGGGGAGAAGTAAGTAGAGAACATG